GGGATTTGAAACCAGTCCTGTCTCCTCTAATAAAAAATTCTACGGACCATGATACAGTGGCATGTTGAGCTAAGCTGAGAAGAACAATAACTAATAGATTTAGACCATATGCATGAACACTTGCAAACTTGTTTACTTATGCATACACATACGTGAACACAAAATGATATCTGGATTACCCTTCGTGTATATACTGAATTATGTTTACACAAACTCTCTCACTTTGAGTTATGCTCCCCACCTACTTTATGAATAATATATTACTATATTTCAACAGCTGAAATTGCTTTGATAGCTATTGGTAAAAGAGAGGACAACATACAGATCATGAGCTATGGCTCATGATACAGATACAATTTTATGGCAAGAGTCAGAAGCACCCTGAATGCTGCTGTTGGCCAATCCTCATACCTCATGCTTGCTATAGCCACCATGCAGCTCCACGTTTCGATAATAGAGCTCAAGAGCGCCTCCCCTTTTACACATTTTTCTACTTATCCCATCCATATTCACAACCACAATCATTATTGTAGCACTCATATACAGGCAATCCCCAAGTTATGAACAAGATGAGTTCTGTAGGTTTGTTCGGGTTTGGGACATTTTTAATTGTAACTCCAGCCAACTATATGTATATTTTAGCTTTGGATAGCATAGGGGTTAACAACTCTGTGGCATTTGTTTTGCTATCTGTGCCTTTGTTCAGAAGATTTCACCTCACTTTCTGGAGTTGGAAAAAATTGACTTGTTGTGGAAACAAGGGTTGGTGATAAAATTTAAGTAGAGAGACTTTTTCCCATGATAGCTCTTTAAGGAGTGAATTCCCCTTCCTAGAGGTAGGTTTCTCACACTTTCTGTGGTCTCACTTCCATTCTAAACTATGAGTCAATTGTAAGTTGGATGTTTGTAACTTGGGGACTGCCTTTATGCAGAAATGGTAGGTCCATGATCAATGTTTATAGAGACATGCATAATGTTAATGAAAATCAAAAGAAAACTTGGAAATATTGTTTTGGTTATACATTGATTGGTAGTTACACCAAACATTCACAACCGTATCCAGGGGAAGCATGCTGATATATAATTGATAAATTCAGGGTCATGGATATGCTACCAAAAAGCAAAGAAACATAATTAAAATAATACATACATTCACATTATATGATGTCAATAATAGTATGCATATGATAATTTGTTAACATCACAGCACTTAGATTCAGCACTTAGATTTCAGGTTCCAGTAACTAGAATTAAATGGGTAGCTTTGGGTTCATGTAGAAATCTGTATTGTTTGTATCTATCAGTTGCATGTCAGTGACCATAAAAGTAAATGTTTGAAAATACTGTGATGCACCTTTTCCTGGATCATAACATGTTGGCTTTCAGTTGAGAGTACTTAGTTTGAATGTCAAAACCTTATTCTGAAGTAGTATAATCTGTGATATGCAATTTTCTCCTGATTTCAATTAATTCAAATATATGAGATGCAGAACTTTGAAAAGTTGCTTTTTTGTACCCTAGCTCCCAGAATCCCTATGTTGCTTAAGGAATTCTAAAAATAATAGTCCATCCATCCTGATATATATGTATCTGCTTTCTTTCAGACTTGGTGTTAAGGCAGTTCATAAAAAGGAAAAAAAACACGCACACCATAAAAACACATATAGCTAAAAACATACAACACTAAAATTATAACAGTTATGAAAACAATAACAGAATTAAAAGTATTTAAAGGTTTACTTTAAAACAAAGATTGGTAACAGTACAGTATCACAGAAATCTATTTTCTTGTTTTTAAAACAACTAGTTCCAAAGGCTTATTGGAAAAGGAGCATGTTGACCTGCCAAAGAGCCAAATCTGCTTCCATAGAGAATGAGTTCCCTCCTCTGTGGGAGCGGTCACAGGTAGTATCTTCTCCTGCATTTCTACCAGTTGTAACTGTGAAGATGGTGGAATAGAACCAAGTGCCTCTTAAAAGCTGAGTTAGACTCTTATACTAAGATGTAGTTCTTCACATAGGGTGGACTGGGATTATATAAGTCAAAGCCAGCGTTCTGTCTGGAAGCAATCAGTACAGCTGTTGCAATAAGGGAGTTGTCTGAACCCTGGAAACAGCACATGTTAGCAATCTGGCTGCAAATCTTTGGAACAGTTGAAGTTTTCAAACATTCTTCAAAGGCAGCTTCACAAAGAGCATATTATTGTAATTTGTCCCTGTAGCCCAGTGATTCTCAACCTTTTTTTGACTAGTGACCACTTGTCCAGGGACACCTTAATGAGGGACCACTCTCCAACATTAGTACCATAAGGGTTACAAATCAGTTTTTAGTCAACTTTAGATTCAGTTTGGTCATTTGGGGTGCTGTTTCAGAAAATTGCATTGGATAGACCATAGCAGCTCTAATTTCCGATACATAACATATGCCATCCAGTAGTCACCATCTGCTCACCAACAGAAAACCATATTTAGTAAGCCTCAGCACTACAAGAGGGTTTTGCGAGATCAGTCACTCTAGCTGCAACGGTGTAGTAATGGTGAGGCTGCAGACCATATTTTAGTTCTTGCGGACCACTGGTGGTCCATAAACCACAGACTGGGAAGTACTGCTGTTGCTATATCAGACATTCCAAGGAATGGGTGTGGCTGGTATAAAAATAGCACTTCTGGTTAGAGCATTAATTCATCTGGCTTCATTTTGCCTATTTTAGTTACTGCCAACTTTTTGAGTTCTCATAGGGATATCTTTCCCAGGGTGAGAATTTTACTCAGGAGCTGCAAATCATGCCTATTATGAAACTTGTGTATAATATGAAAGGTACTCTACCACATCTAGTTTCCAGTTTGTCTCTGTGAGCATAATTTGACTTGAATCTGAGTAAGCATTTTCAGTATTTTGATTCAAAAACAGAAATATTTTCTTCTGAGCTGTACACATTTTGAAAATCAAAATGTTTAGCCTAGTGAAAATTTAAATTTCTTAATATAAATCACTATTTGCCACTATGAATTCAAAAGTGAATTAAATGTAGTTCAAATCAACAAAATAAAAATTAGGTAAACAACATATCTATAATCATAATGATTAAAAGGTTTTTCTCTGTGAAACAAGTATCAAGATTTCTTGAAAATAGGTGAAGCGACCTAAAAACGAATGTTTTGCTTTCACAGCAAAAGAGAGTTTACAATTAACAGAACTCTAGTTGAACAAATACTAGTTAACAAAGTGGTTGTCAAGTAGTTGAACCTTGACTCCAAACCTGATCATGATCACAGCTTCAGCATTCCAGTGGACTGTACCTTCTGCACTTTATTACACTGATTAGCTTTTTCCACATCCATCTTATTTATTTATAGAATGCTGAGTCAAATATTAATTATCAGTGTTTTCAGAAAATGATCCTCAAAATATTGTTGTCAAGAGGTTTTCTTTAGGGTAAGAATGGGAAATATGAAAATTTTCCCATGTACTAATAATCTTAATTGAAAAAAATGCATTCATATATCACTGTAGAATGTTCCAAAGAGTCTGCAAAAGAGATAGCAAATTCAGAGTTATTTTAATTGACCATTGCTAACATCAAAGGATGAATCAGAACACTGTTTTCTGGGTATCTTTTCAATGAATGCAATCCAAACAACTAGAGAGATAAGTGAGATGTAAGGAGCCATCCTCTAGTCTAGTATAAAACAACTGCCACTTGACTCTTCTCTCCCAGAACTGCCTCATTCAATTGTCATATCACCAGAGTTTATTTCCTGTCTCTTTTCCACGATATCTATTGTTTTGAACCCAAGTATAGTTAAATTGTGACTTTCCAGATGTTGAACTTCAGTTCCTGTCATACTTGACCACTGGCAATAATGATTAAGGCTAATCATGAAGGCCTAGATTATAAAGAAGGTTTTTAAGATCATCAAGGGTTGCTGTGATTTTATATGCTTTCAATGATGTTAAATACTCTTTTAATACTTCCATATTTTAAATTGTATTGCAATGCTTTTAGTTGCAAGTCGTTTTGAGTCTCCGTATGGAGAGAAAAGTGGGATATAAATAAACATAATAATAATAATAAGTTTGTCAAGTGTCCCTCATTATAAGGCATGCCCTTTATTTGAGATCAGGAAACCCTATCCCTTATCAATCTATCAGGTTTCCCTTATAAAAAAGGGTTGCCCTCTATTTGTGAGTGCGAAAAAATCCTTTTATGTAGACTTGACAAAATGTTGAAATCTCTTGACTTTTGTGGTGCAAATGCTTCATGGAGGCAGAAATGTGTGCACACTTATGACTGCAGACAATATGTTAATGTTACAGAAAAATCCATGGCTAAGTTCATGGAAATCAATACTTTCATTTGGTATTTAGGCAGAGTACCAACTTATTAATAGCGACTTCCTGATTGTCAACCCTGTATATCATGAATTCTGACTGTCCCTTACTGCTATACTGAAAACCAGCAAGACAATGAGGACCATAATTGTTCCTTTGTTCCTCCTCTGTGGTAAGGATTTAAAAAAAAACACACCCCAATAACAACTGTTAACTGTCTCAAACGCTGGAAAGTAAATATATACATTTATATAAATTTAGTAAGATAAACCACTTTTGAAATAAGCTTTCATACATGATGCTTAGGTTTGACCTTGGTAGAGTCACATCAATTTCCCTGCACCGTTTTCTGAGTAACTCCAAACACCGTCATATACTGCAGACTTTTCCAAGGACAATATTTTCTCAGCCAGCCAGACAACAGATACTTCAGTATGCAGTGTGGCTTAAAACTGTACTACATCAACAGTCTATAGGTTATGTCAGCATTTCTACCCCAAAATTAAATTAAGAGCATTTTTGCACATGCTCCTCAGTATCCCATTACAGGAGTGGAGAACCTAAACCAATTAATACCATTTGATTAATAATACTCATTAATAATTATAATATTCATTAATAATGTGAAACAGAACCATGATGGGTTTTTTAAAAAAATTATGCTCACCTCCAAACTGATAAACATGGTGAACCAGACTGAAATGTACTTTACATATCAGATTATGGAGAACAGGGCTTGAATCCCCTACTGCCTGATCTTGGACAAATCACACTCTCTCGGCCTCACAGGACGACAATGACAAATCTCCACCGAAGAAACCTTCCAAGGAAATGCCATGATAAGTTCTATTTTATGGTTGCCATAGGTCAGAAATGACATGAAGGCATACAACAATAAACATTCTTGACTCACTCATTCCAAGACTGAGTTCATTTTCAATGAAAGTCTGTAAAAATAAGCAACACTGTTCTCACTTTCTGCTTTAGCATCCTTAAAATCTCAAGACATTCCCAGATTTTCTCCTTACATGCATGAAAGGCATTTGGCTAAACACATATAGAGATGGCACACAAGGACTGAACAATAAAAATCTGATCTCTCTTCTCCTCCCCCTCCCAAATGTTAAAATTGCCCATGATCTTTCTTTCCATCTGTAAGTATTGATATTTACCTATCTAGCATAATACAAAGACATGTAGTTGGTAAGTAAAACTCCAAATAAGGATTCCTGTTCACATGTTATGACCAAAGATACAGAAGAAAACAAAGATACAAAAATAACAGAATTTGGTTTCTGCTATGAAGCCATCATGGTCACAGCCAACTCATGCAACCGCTTTGGAATTGCATTTTCCACCAATGTTTTACAAACATACTTAAAACAAGATGGGAATCTGCTTCGATGTCCCACCTTAAGACTCGATGCTGCCTGTACTTCTCTCTTACATATCTATGGTGATGAGGATGCAGGGATGCCATAGTTGCTAAGCAACTGACATTTCTCCACCACCCCCATCTGTTGACCAGCCTACACCTCCTCCCCATGTTAGGTTTATCACACATCCCAGAGGACATAAAATGAAGACAACACTCTAGAAAAACAAATTCTGCAATATGATATTTAGCACAAGCACTAGCAACTTCAACTGTTTGCTGAAGAAGCATGTACATCGACGTGTGCGCACAAACACACAGACACCTATACTCCTTCATTTCAAAACATTTTTCAATAAATGCATATGTTTTCGTTGCCCTCCATTTCCGACAATAAAGCTGATAGTGATAAATCATTTCCACCCTTCACTGATATTAATGATTCCGATACCCATTTTTGAGAAACGAGCAACGGCAGTTTTGTCCATCAGCAACTCAGTCCCCACAGGATTGTCAGCCAATAAAATCATATGAACATCCTCCTTACACACAGCATATTTTAGTAGTTTTGGAGCACAAAAGAGACAGAAACTGCCTAAGTAATGAAACAAAAATTGATATAACAACACATTAGCTAAAAAAGTATATCTTTTAATACAAAAAATTCAATCTCATAAATTTATTTCCACTGAATAATTGCTTCACTATTCCAGGTGAAAACTGTTTCTTAATATTTCAGTTGTGATGCTCTTGCCATTGGTAATATAAACAATATATAAACATTATTTATAACATTTCTCCCACTTTTTGATATGTGCTATTCTTGAGGAGTGCTAGAAAATAATACTGGTTTTTTTTTCAAATGTGTTGAGCACCTTGACATGGTAAGATCTGGACTTTAACCTGTTCTCTACGATACTGGACAATGTTTACGCATGTAGTGATGTAAATGCAAAAATAATTGCCTTTCAAAGTAGCTGCCCTTGCATTTTATGATTTATAATGCTTCTTTTAAAAGTGCATGCATGCTTGCCTACCCATTATTTTTTTAAGTGCTTAATGTTTAATGTAAGAAGGAAATAGCATGAAAACATACTTGCTTGATATCTGTTTTATAACTTGATAAGATGAAAATGACTGAAAGATTTATGTAGACTTTTCAGTATCTTAAATTCAGGGACACATAATTTGTAGACATAAGTGTCAAAGACAAGGATCTAAACATGAAACGTATTAGTATATTTTGATCCATCATCCATAGGAGCAATGAGGCAACACTATGCCACTTGACCTTCCAAATTATCTTTCCATAATTATCTTAATTCCTATCTTATTAAATTCCCAATTTAATATATTTATACTATTCCAAACTACATTCTCAGTACTTCAACCCTCCTACATCTAGGAAGATGGATGCTATTTTTAAAAGGTAATTTTGAACTACCTAGGAATCCGACATGAGCGGTGTGGGAAGTTATCATATTCGCCTTAAAGATATGAAAGATCCCTGGGTCAATACCTTAAAGTGCTTTTGTGGATGAGACTAAGTCTTCAGTAATCTACATGCTTTGCATACAGAAGGATCCAGGTTAAATATCTCATAAATCCAGTGATCTTGATAAGTAGGGTGGGGGAAAACCCTGGAGAATGGCTGCAGAATAGAAAATACTGGATTAGAAGGACCAGTGGCCTGAGCCTGCATTCAAACATAGGTCCATTCATCTCTCTGAGTACTTGAATACAAGGCATCTAGTGTGGCTAGATCCCTGTTATAACAAAATTTGCATAATGGCCAATCCAGTCCTGATTATGGCCACAGTGTAAGAAACACTCACATTTCGTGGAGAATTTGAGTCATACGTGTGACCTTATCTCAGTTCAGCGTGCCCTGTGAGCAAAGTGTATTGGAAAGCTTTTACTTAAACCTAAATTTGACAAATATGCCAATTTCAAACTTACGGTCTGGGTCAGTGGATCCGAAATGTTAAATTCTATTGCAGCAAGTGAGGCATGTTTGTTGTGAATCCCTAGCCAGCAAAGATGAGACATTCTGGAAATAAACTGAATCAAGGTCAAACAAAGTTTTTTGTTTGTATTGGTTTGTGGATCATGACAGATGTGGGGATAGCTGCTTCTGTGTATCTTATGTATATACCAGCTTAAAAAAAATATTTATTTAAAAATGAACAAACTGTTTCCAATAGGAATGATTAGCACATATATGACATTATGACTTGGATAAATTCTTACTTTCTTTCAAAAGCTGACATTTATGCAGTGATTCCTTAACAAAACTATAACAACCACAGTATGATACAAGAGCATTGGAGGCAGCTGTATTTTCTTTTCATTCCTCTGCAGTAAAAACATTTCATTTTCCCTGGATAACATTTTTTTTTTAGTAAGACAAATAAATAGCTTTTTTAAAATTTTAGTTTATTTTTAAATACATTTCCCTCTCTTTCTGTAGGTGTGTATATTTCTATCTCTATATAAATATAAAAATCATTGCTTGAAATCTTCAGAATATGGATTTTGCCCCATCACATCTGTACACACGAAAGGAGCTAATATCCACATTTCCCCTTTAATTTGATCTCTATCTCGATGTAAGGCATTAGTGACGTCTGGTGAATTACATTCAACGTGATGATTTTCTATTAAGGGCAGATTCGGGAGTCCAAGCGGAAAGCACCGGATGGGCTGTGCACAATTCAAAAGTAACCTCTGGTCTCTGTGCGGCAATTGCTGGAGCTCGGACGCCATCTACTGGCCATACTGGATGTTTTTCCTCCACCAAACAAAGCTTTTTCCTTCGGCTCTATTCATGTGTCAACCCAGTTCTACAAGAAACAAGATACCAGCTAGATACCTTGGAAAGGAATGAAATAAACAAACAATCCTCCCATTCTTCTTTGGTTTTTCACTCTAACCAAAACCATTAAAATATAATACTCTCTAACCAGCCAATTAAGCAACATCATATCAATTGCCAAATAAAAGAAAGGAAGGGAGGGAGGGAGGAAGGAAAGAAAGAAAAGACAGAAAGAAAAAACAATAAATTAAAACTCCACACCACACAGAGGAAAAACCATTTCATCATCTTATCCTTAGCTCAAATCTCCATAAAACAAGTGGGAAAACCAAAAGGATGAATTTGTGACATTAGGCCTAATTTTCTCAATTGTTTTAAGTGTCATACAAAACATGCCAAACCACTGCTTTCTAAAAAGATAGATAGCTTATACCCACCATCCTGTACCCCTCTATCAAGAAACACATTTCTTTCTATGCATTTTTAAATACTGTACCCAATTTAAACTGCCCTGGGTGGTGGAAGGGGAAAAGAGATTTCCAACATTTTTTTTCTCATATCCTTACAATGGAACATAAAAAAGCCTAAGAGTAAAATCATCATTTTTTAAAAAAAATTCTATTGCATATTTTCATCTATGATGAAAAACTCACTAAGTTAAAAGCATACCAAATTAAAATGGGAAAAGAAAGGCGGGAGAGAGGATAGAGAAAGAGGGAGATTGGAAATTAATTTCAAATTCCAGAATGGTATTTTGGAAGAAAAAAAATTGAGCAAATTGTTATTTCTGTTATTATATCCTGTTAAACACCATAGTGGGTTCTACTAGTATTAATAAAATAGCATGGGGCTTAAAGAAAAAGAAAGGAAACATTGGTAGAAGGGTATAGCTGAAGTTTTAAGATTCAAGCTTTTTTATATTCTAGTATATATCTATTTTTTCCAAAATGTTTTATTAGGAAAGCTATACCAGACGCATCACTGTACAATGATTAAACATTACCTTTACAATTTATATTCACTTGAAAGTACAGAATAAATATATGCACATTTGAATTTCTGTGTGCGTATGTGTGTCTGTTTGTGTGTATGTGAGCAAGGAAGAGAGAAAGAGGGATAATGTTAACAGTGTGTCTTCAATAGATATGCCTGTGATAGGTACCCAGTAAGTTTTCTTTTCCTTTCCCCACCTGTATGTTGCTCTTACGCCGGAGTCTCCTTAATTATAAAGGCAGATATCTTCCAATGCCCTCCCCCCCAAACCCGGCCCCATTTAACAAAATGCTAATGACCTTTCCTTTAGTGTAAGGGAGCCACAAGATTGAACAAATAAAGGATTTTTTTCACTTAAGAAGCAGATTTCCGGTAAGCAGTAAGTCTCTAGCCTCACATCTCCAAAAGGAAGGAGAATTTACTGTGGCACCCATTTAAAGGGAAAGGGACAGAGAAGGGAAAACAGAAGGGGTGCAGGCAAACTGGAATGGCTATGAAGGAGACAGGGGAGGGCTAGGAATTTAGAATTGGGGTTATGTGGATCTGTGTGCATGGAGGTGAGAAAGAGAGAGAGAGAGACATGAGAGTGAGAACATTCAAAAAAGACCCCCTCCCTCCCCTACTGCAGTTTCCAGACATGCAGCAAACTGCATTTTTGTTGTCATTTCCCTTTCCCCTTTTGTTTTCTTTTAAATCAATGTACAGAAATCTGTGCCATGGTGAGAGGGAAAGAAGAAACAAAGCCACAAAAGAATGCTGTCTTTAAGTTCGACACCCTCCCCCCTCCCCCAAACGTAAAAAAAGATGAACGAAAATATTCGTATTTTCTGTTTTGTTTTTTAAAAAAGCCCTACAGCAGAAAAAAAAGCGCGCACGCAAGAGAGAGATAGCGCAATACACAATGAATTTACTTTGTCAGGATCGAGATGAAGATCCCCCATGATACTAATTAATATAATAATATTCTTATACCTTAGACAACATGGCACAGTCAAAGTCTCAGTTTTGTTTTCTTTTTCAGTATAAAAAATAATGATTGATTAACATCTGCTGGCAAAAGTCTGCAAAGGCACTTTTATCGATTAATGATCATCTGAGAGTTGGGCCCCTCCTCCAAACCAACATCTGGCAGGGGGAAAGCACAGAGCTGTATCCTCTAGTATCAGCATGCGGTGGTCTGGGGAGAGGAAGGGGAGAGGAGAGGATTGGGACCAAGGAAGGTGTGTGGAAGGGCTGGGGGCTAGGATTTGGCTGTAAAAGCTAGACATTTTCAAAACCTATAAGTGGTCTTCTCCAGGACTTCGAGGTAATCCGGCTTGGTTTGGAGTTTGGCCCTTAACTCGAGGTATTCACTTTGGGGGGGTTGGTGGTGGTCTGGGAAGCCCTTACCAGCCGAGAAGAGCAGGGTTTCTTTCAGCCTGGCGTCCTGCTGCAGGTCTGGGTATTGCATGCCAGGGGGATGGACGTGCAGTTCCTTTAATTTGGGCACTGTGCCGTAGAGGCAGTCCACAAAGCCCACTGTGCACGGAGGGGCTAAGGGTGGCCTCTCCCTGCTGTCTAGAACGGCACCACTAGGAGGAAACAGCACCACCCCACCATTCTTCTCATGATGGAAGACAGGTGGCACCAGTGCTAATTCCCCCATGAGAGGCAAACCTCCACCAATTCCCCCTCCAGGTGGGTGGGGGTGGGGGTGGGGGTGATGGTTGGTGGTCACTATGGTGTTAAGTTGTGAACTGGACACAGCCAACCTCCACTCCTTCTCTTTCTCCAGCAAGGTCCTATAGCAGCTACTGCTCCCGCTGTCCTTGGCAGGGTCAGCAAATTGTTCCCCTGCACAGCTGCCACCTCCACCTCCCAGAAGCATGTCCCCGGCTTGCCCAGGCTCTTCTGCTACAACTTCGTCCTCTTCGCGTGGCTTGTAAATGGGATTGTTGCACATCTGGGTCACTGGGTGTGGGATGTAATCATAGACATGGCCCACTGGGGGTGCCTTCTCTGGGGAGGCACTGATTCCCACACTTCCTCCACCTCCTCCCTCCTCAAACAGATGGTGGCATTGCACTTGGATGCCTGTTAAATCAAGGGCCTCCTGCCGCTGCTTATTCCGGAAAGGTAGCTTCTTGCGCCGTCGGCGTAGGACAAAGGCAAAAAGGCCCGCAGCAATGAAGACTGCAGAGAAGAACAGTACGAGTAGACTGAGAATGAGCACAGAGAGAGGGACTGGGCCTCCTCCATCTGGAGGGAGCTCATAAGGTGAGGGACTTGTGGGGCTAGGGTGGCCAAATGCTGGAGGGGCTGGTGAGGCAGCGGCAGCATGCAACATTTCTGGGCACAGCATCTCCAGCTCCACAGAACGGATATCTCTGTTGGTGAGGTTCTCTGGGCTGGCACAAAGAACATCCCCCACAACAATGACAGAGCTGATGGTCTCGATCCACTGCTTGAGAGGCACTAGGTCACAGGTGCAATCCCAAGGGTTGAGCTTCAGGTCAATCTGTACAATGGCATTGAGGTGTTCCAGCACACCAGCCACCGGCAAGTACCGGAATTTGTTGTTCCTCAGGTTGAGCCTGGCCAAGGAGGTGCCAGCAAAGGCATCAGTAGGCAGGGTCCTCAGAAGATTGTCATTGAGGAAGAGTAGCTTCAGGTTGGGCATGAGACTGAAGGCAGCAGGCTGGATCTCCCTGATCTGATTGTACTCGAAGTACAGGTAATGCAAGCTCTGCAAACCTCTAAACATGCCTGGAGTCAGCTTCTCGATGTCATTGCCATTTAAGTACAGACTCTTTAAATTGGGCAGATTAATAAAAGCCCCATCCTGCACATAGGAGATCCGATTGTTTCCAAGATGAAGGAGATCCAAAGAAGAAAAATTCCAGAAATCTGAACGGTAAATTTTCTGTATCAAATTTCCACTCAGGTATAATTTCTTAGCATTGACAGGTCTGGGAAGGAGCTCAGAAATATTGTGGAACCCTCTTTCCTTGCAGTTAACAGTTAGACCCAAATCATTGATGTGCAAATTGCAGGAGCAGCCAGTAGGGCATATGATGGGGATAGGAGGCCTAGTCTGATACGCAGCAACAGGAGCTTGGTTGGGCCCAGGGTACAGGCCTCGAGGTGTAGGGGGTGGCTTGTGTGCCCTGGGCTGTTTTGTAGGTTTGGGTTGTTTAATGGAAGTTTTGTATTCAACAGAGGAAGCAGTGAAGTGGAAGGAGGACAACATGGAAGAAGGCTTAGTAGGCCACGCATTCTCCTTGCTTGATGGCAGCTGAGGAACACCAATGCTGACCAGTTCTGAGTCAGATAGCATAGGACACAGTTTATTTCTTTTAATTTCTCTCAGGTCCTTACCATGGAAGTGGAAAGGAGTCTCACAGGTTATGTCTCCCACAAGGGCAGTATAAGGGATGCGCTCAAGCCAGCTTTTTAGCTGAACAATTTCACAAGTACAGTTCCAAGGATTCTCTTCCAACTGGATTTCCATCAAGCTCCTGCCAATATGGTCCAGCATTCCTCGGTAGGAAAGCACTTTCAATCTGTTTCCACGCAAGTCCAAGTGAGTTAAGGACACAGATTTAAATAAATTGGTGGGCAGCATGGGAATAAGGTTATCATTTAAGATAAGAACCCGAAGTTTGCTCAGATTTCGAAATGCCCCACTTTCAATCCGCTTAATGACATTATAATCTGCCTGCAGATATTCCAGACTTTCCAATCCCAGGAAAGTATCGTTTCTGAAAATGTCCAATTTATTTTCGTGCAGGTACAATCTTTTCAGAATTTTGAGCCCATTAAACGCTCCTATCTGAATGTCTTGTAATGCATTGTTCCCAAGGTTAATAGAAACAGCATTGTTCAAATGGAGAAAACTGTTGGTGTATAATCTCCTCATAGAGTTTCTCTGCAGGTAAAGTTTGAAAGGTCTTGACCATGACTCCGTTATCTGACTAATATTTATAAATCCCTTGTTGTCGCAGTGTATATGAAAAAGGCTTTCTTTGACTTCACAGTAACAGGGATCAAAGCAAGGTTCCTCAATTTCCTCCGAGTCTTCTATCAAGGGAATAGGGGTAGTCCATGCTACAGCAATTGTGCTTAGAAGAATAATCCACAGCATCCTTCTTTTACGGGGTGGATCGGTTGTTGGAGACTTCATGGTTGTGATGGATTACAAAACTGCAGCAGGGTTTACAAAAAAAAAACACACACAAATAGATTACAGTCAATCACTATTTTTTTTCAGGCTGATATATATATATATCAAAATCAACAATCCAAACTGATTAAGGGAAAATAAAATCATTAGATTACTTCAAAGTTCATTTAAAAAGCAAATTCTATATTGCCATACTGAACCTTGTGTGTGAGAAGGAAAGCGATATGGGGAAAACATTTAACCATACACTGGATTCTTATCCGCTCATCCATATTTAGGCTGTTTGATATAAGACCCCATAATGAAAACAGCAACAAAAACCTACAGGCCCTAGATTGTGAAAAGTATGACAAAAACCAATGTCCAAGGAACATAAGCTATGTAATATTAGTCTTACCTCTACTGCATAAATTAGAAGGGAAGGAAAGGGAATCAATGTATTTTATCTAGTAGAGATAAACACATCCAGTCTATAATGACATAAAAACAACTACACTTAACTTCCCAATTGTTTTGGTTCCAGTGGGGGAGTAGCCAAAGTGCCTGGTACTATATTAGGCATTGTTGAAGAAGGGGACAAATAAGTTGGCAATGTTTCAGATCCCCAAAGAAATGTTCATAGCTGGGATTTGATAAATCTACATAGTTTGCAACAATGCTTGTCTCTAAACAGGAGGGGGGGGGGGGTGAAGAAGTCTCTTTTTTTTCAAGCAAGCAGAATGAATTAATGCAACTGGTATAGCAGCAGATAAATGCACACTCCATATTAGTCATTTCAGCTGATTAAAGCATTTAGAGATGATTAATCTTTGGAACGCACATGCCTGTGTTGTCCCATATCCATGGGGGGAAGTGACAATTGAAGGCTTAGGATTCAAAAGGCTGATGGTGTGTGTGTGTGTGTGTGTGTGTGTGTGTGTGTAGGGGATTCTTTGAACTAGGATGTCTGGTGGCTGTAGGACTACCCATGAGTGATCCACTGGAAGAAAGGAGGAGAGGAGAAAGACCGAAAGTAAGACAAAGACACCCTTTATACAGGAAAAATAACTACCACTTTACTGTCAAAGGCTGACAAAAGAATCAACTTAGGGGATGTTGATTGGTACCTTCTGACCTACACGTCTTCCTTCATTGGGGGAAGGGATCTTTCTTTCCTCACTCTTTTTCTCAAATCATTCCAACACAAAAGGAGTAAATCACGGTTTGCTACTCGCTTTGCAGCCCTACTTGCTGTTGGCCATTCAAAGGATTCGCCAGAGTCCTGGCATTTAGTTCCCTCTTTGTAGCAAAGCAGCTTCACAGATATGGATTATCTTGCACTCTCTCCATGCAAGGGAAGGGAATTCCTCCTTCCCAGTAGGACAAAAGAAAACCCCAAATAAGAAAAGGACATATGTATGGGAAGTTAAATAAGCAGGGAGAAGGTTTACATATTTTAGTAAAACAAAACCAAGGGGAATTAATCTGAAAATGTAAGAAAACCAGAGCAGTCGGTTGGAAAACACCAGCTATGCTTCAAACGAGGAACAGGAGAATAAGGGAAATCTTATTTAGGCATTTGCTTTTTTCCCTTTGTTTGGTTGTAGACACATATCTGCCCCTTAAGTTCTTTTCAGCAAACACACACACACACACACACACAATGTTCTATCCAGTGGAAAAAAGGGGTGGATGGAGAGAGAAATCCAGAAAGAGGTTGTACTTACCGGCTTGAAGGAGAGATTTCAGCACATTTGGAGAGGAAGGAAAAAAAGCCAAACCCATATATATGTATAAATAATATACATATAAACACACATATAGAAATTAAGAGGATATCTTTTACAAAAAAAAATGATTGCTGGTTTCTCCCTTTCTCTCTGTTCTGGTTCTATACTCCTGCTGAGGGCTGAGGCAAAAGGAAAGGGGGGCGAGCAAGCAAAGATGAGACGTGCTAGGAATGCAATGAGCTTCTTTAGGATGCAGAGATGCTGCCTGGCAGAGTCAATGGAGGAGGGAGACGAAGGGGGCTGCTGCAGGCTCCTAGTTCTGCTGCCGCTGCCACCACCTTCCCTGGGTACCACCAGCGCATCTTCAAAAAAAGGAAGGAGAGAAGGTCTGTGGCAGGCAGAAGACCCAGTCTAGGGCATCTCCCTATTTGCTGCTACTTCTTCCTCCCTGTGTATGTGTGTGTGTGCCTCTCTGTGTTCCTTGTTGCCCCTGGATCAGGCTTCTTGCTCCCCACGTCATGAATCCCAGCTTCAAGGAAGAGGAACAAATGTAGGAGGACGCGCTTGGCACCAGGTCGGGGGCGCGCGCATGGGAAGCCCTGACTGTACAGGGTTTGCCACCCCCTTCCTTTCTCTCTTTCTTTGTGAGGGGGAGGGGGAGGATGAGTTAGGGGGAAGGAGGGAGGGGTGGGGGAATCCAAGATGACTTGGGGGGAAAGGAGGAGTAGCCAAAAGAGAAGTGATCATTCATGGGTGAGGGTGGTCACATCCCTCCTTCTTCCTGCGAGTGAATGGGGGTTGTGGGGGGGATTTATCAAGAATGTATATATATATATATATATATATATATATATATATATATATATATATGGAATGTACCCTGGGCTGGGCTGCTAAATGTGCAAATTTAGCAAATCCTTGAGAGCTGCAGCCATTAAGAGGAAGGATACCCGCCCCCTGTATGCAGCCAAGAAGAAGCCTTCTCTTATTTTAGGAAGTCTGAGGTCTAGTTAGCTAATAGCTACTCTAGCTCTATCTCCAGCCACTGCCTGCAGTTCTCCATCACACCTAATCCTGTCCCAGCAGAGGAAACAAAAGGAAAAGGCATCTTGAGGTGGAGCAGAACTTGGATAGGATAAGATCTTCTCTTCTTTCTTGACTCTCTCCCATCTACCCCACCCCCCTCTTTCTACTCCTCCTCCCAGCTGAAAAGCTTCGAGTCCACCTCTGACTCGACCTAACAGGCACCTGTTTCCTTGCAAGCGTTTTTTTTTAAGCTCCCAGCCAAGTGTCAGAAGTGCTTAGGTGACAAAGGAGCATCTAACATCTTGCCTTGCCACAAAGAAGAAAAGAGAGATGTGATCTTAACCCCTTCGCTCCTTCACCAGCCCTCCCATTATCACATCTCCCTCTTTTTTCTCCTCCTCTTTTTGAATTTCCTTGCTCCCCCCCCCCCCACCTGCCCACACCCTACTGGCTTCCATACATCACCTGGCACAAGACAAGGAGAAATCTACTGCTCTAATTTCAGCCTGGATCCAAGAAGAGGACAACAAAGAATCCCCAAAAGGTAACTGAACCCATTTTAATTATTTCTCTAGAAGCAAAGGGTTAATTTTTTGTAAAGTTTGTAAAGGGTGGGTCATCTCCTCACAAGAGCCATCCTGAGGGACCATCAGAAGGAAGGTGCTGTCAGCAATCCAGGCTAACTTGGCAAGTTTGCTTAATGTCAGGTGCAGGTTTATTGTCCTCCTTTAGGACAGGCATGAGCAAATTTCCACCCTCCAGGTGTTTTGGACTTAGAATCATAGAGTTGGAAGAGACCTCGTGGGCTATCTAGTCCAACCCCCTGCCAAGAAGCAGGAAAATTCCAATTCAAAGTTCCCCCAACAGATGGCCATCCAGCCTCTGCTTAAAAGCTTCCAAAGAAGGAGCCTCCACCACACTCTGGGGCAGAGAGTTCCACTGCTGAACAGCTCTCACAGTTAGGAAGTTCTTCCTAATGTTCAGATGGAATCTCCTTTCTTGTAGTTTGAAGCTATTGTTCCAAGTCCTAGTCTCCAGAGCAGCAGAAAACATGCTTTTCGTTCCTCCCTATGGTTTCCCCTCACATATTTATCCCAGTCTTCTCTTCTGGAGGCTAAACATGCACAACTGTTAGGAATTGTGGGAGTTGAAGTTCAAGAAACCAGGAGAGAGGGCCAAATTTTGCCCATGCCTGCCTTATGAGCTTTCAATTCACCCTTTTCCTCAAATCCCTTTGGAGAAAGGACACCCTGCCTCAAAAGGGGGTTGGACTGCTGGGTGGCCCTGGTGATCTCTCCCTGTTCTAGGATTTGAATGTTCCTCTCTGCTCTTGGAAACAGGAATTGTGGGAGTTGAAGTCCAAAACACCAGAAGAGAGGGCCAAAGATTGCCCAATAAGCCTTCCAAATGGCCCTTTCCCCCAAATCCCTTTGGAGAGGACATATTGCCCCAAAAGGGGTTGGTCTGCTTGGTGGCCCTGGTGATCTCTTCCAGTTCTAATTGTCATGCTTGCTCTTGGAAAAGGACTTCACTGAGAGCAGGCACAAAAGCGTGAGAGTGTGGATGTCGAAAGGCAAGAGCTCTCGCTTCAGGTGGTTTCGGGGGGGGGGGGGGGCTGCTTGGCGGTCCCTGAAGGCGAGCAGAGAGAGCAGGCGACAGGCAGGTAGGCCTCCGCGAGAGTCGGCCGCACTCCTGGCGGGGTGGGAGCCCCGATCCCCATCGTGTGCGGGATGGCAGCCCGGTTGCCTTGGACGAAGAAGAAGAAGGAACCTGGCAAGGGGCCGGCCAAGCCCCTCCTCCTCCTCCTCCTCCTGGCAGCAATGGTCTGCCTTGTCGCGAAGGCGAAGCGACGCCAACCTCCTCCCTGGAAGCCGCGTTTGGAGAGGGGGCGCTTGCCTTCTCAGCCAGGGGTGATGGGTGCCATTGTGGGGGAACTTGGGAGAGTGTGTATTTAGCTAAGCAGGGGTTTCTTTTGGGAGGGAAGGAAAAAAAGGAAGGAAGGGGAATCCGACCAAGCTCAGTACCATCAAGGAGGAGGCAAAGCGTTTGGCAGCGAGTGCGGAGCTCTTTGTATAGTCGATTCGGTTGAGATGGATCCCATTCCAGTGGGGATGGGGACCTGACATAACACAGAGGAGAAGGAGGAGGAACCCCCCAACAATCAAAAAACCAACCCCCCACCAGTTCATTCCTAAAAGCAAACGAAGGAAGGAAGGAAGGGCGGCGAATACCTAAAGCGAGGCTCCGGCTGCAAAGAAGGGGTGTCAGGGTCTCGTCGGGCGAGGCTCCGTCGCTGACGCAGCCGCTTCTCCTCCTCCTCCTCCGCCGCCTCCTCCTCCTCCCTCTTCCCGGCCGGGAAGCTCCATCCGGAGGGAGAGAGGACCCCGGCGCCTCCGTCCGGTGCCCGTCAGCCTCGCCCGAGCCCCTCCGCCTTCATGCTAAGGGAGCCGCTCCTGCTCCTGCCGCGTGGAGGCTGAAACCCGCTCCCCAGGCGCCTCGGATTCCCCGAGTTGGGCTCAGGAGGAGGAGGAGGAGGAAAGAGAAGAGCCCCGTCCGCGAAGGCACCGGCTGGGGGTACCAATCTGGAGCCCAGAGGGTCATGGCGCGTCGCGGAGGGCGAAGAGGCCTTCCCGACGCCCCCCTCTCGCCCCGGGCTTCCTCGGGAGGAGGGTCGGAGCCTGGAGGGAAGGGGAAGCAAGAGGAGGAGGAGGAGGGAACGGAAGGGGCGGCGGCGGCGGAGGAGGAGGGGTCCCGGCCGCTCCCTCCGAAGGGCTCTCCGGTAGCATCGGGGCTGCGGGATGGCCGGCTTCTCCCGCGCGCTCCTTCTCCGGCGAAAGAGGAGGCAGGGAAAGGAGGAGGAGGAGGAGGTGGGACATCGCCGCTCAGCCTCCTCGGCCTCCCGCACGGCGCCGCCGCATCCTTCCTCCAAGGGGAGGGGGGCTCCGAGGAGGAGGAGGAGGAGGAGGAGGAGAGGCCCCGGCGAGGGGAGAGCCTGCCCACAGGTCCAGCTCCTCAGCCCTGCTTCAGAATGGCTCCAAGGAGGAAGGGGGACCCTGAAGAAGGGGGGGAGGGAGGGAGGAAGGAGAGAAGGAGAGAGAGAGAGAGTTTGCTGCAGTCTTTCGTTGTGCCAGTCCAGCGGTTGGAAGTGAGGAAGCCTCCACACTTCTGCAAGGTTCTCCAAACTCTGCTCTTCCAGGTGTTTTGGACTTCAGTGTGCTGGAACAGCTGTCTTCCTTTGCGACCCTCAGGTGGGCGGCATTTCTGGGAACCTCTCCAACACTGAGAATTTAATGTAGTTTGACACCGCTTTAACTGCCAGGCCCAATGCCATGGAATCCTGGGAATTGTAGTTTGGTGAGTCACTGGCACTCTTTGGTGGGGAAGTCTAAAGACCTCCTGAAACTAGAAAACCCACAATTCCATAGCATTCAGTCATGGAAGTTAATGTGGTCTCCAACAGCATTCATTCTTCAGTGTGAATGCACCCCAAGGGCCCTTCCACACAGCCCTATGTCCCAGACATAGCCAGTGACCAGGAATAGTGGGAGATGAAGTCATAGAATCATAGAATCAGAGTTAAAAGAGACCTCATGGGCCATCCAGTCCAACCCCCTGCCAAAAAGCAGGAATATTGCATTCAAATCACCCCTGACAGATGGCCATCCAGCCTCTGTTTAAAAGCTTCCAAAGAAGGAGCCTCCACCACACTCCGGGGCAGAGAGTTCCACTGCTGAACGGCTCTCACAGTCAGGAAGTTCTTCCTCGTGTTCAGACCACCTGAACACGAGTCCAAACCACCTGGGAGACCAAAGAGCAGTTAGGGACCAAAAGGACCCTGCTCTGTTGTTTCTCACTTCCAAATCCTAGATCTGTGTAACTCACTTGGACCCCTTCCACACAGCTGAATGAAATCCCACATGTTCTGCTTTGAACTGTGATATATGACAATGTGGATTCAGATAACCCAGTTCAAAGCAAATATTGTGGGATTGTCTGCTTTGATATTCTGAGTTATATGGCTGTGTGGAAGGGCCATCTCTTTAGAGCACCTTGTTTTTTATAACTACACCCATACCTAGTCTTTGAAGTCCTCAAATCAGTGATTTTCCTCCAGAGTTGGGTAAAGGGACTAAAATACTTCCAGGACTGTTGGGTTGGTGAAATGATGGGATGTCACAGGGCTGTGGAGTTGGATTACTTGGGGCCCTTCCACACAGCCCTATATCCCAGAATATCAAGGCAGAAAATCCCACAATATCTGCTTTGAACTGGGTTGTCTAGGTCCACTCTCAGTTAATGTGGGATTTTCTGCCTAGATATTCTGGGATATAGGGCTGTGTGGGGTGCATTCACACAGAAGAATGAATGGTGTTGGATATCATATTAACTGCCATGGCTGAATGCTATGGAATTGTGGGGTTTCTAGTTTCAAGAGGTCTTTAGACTTCCCCACCAAAGATTGCCAGTGACTCACCAAACTACAACTCCCAGGATTCCATGGCATTGAGCCATGGCAGTTAAAGTGGTGTCAAATTACATTAAATTTTCAGTGTTGTAGAGGTTCCCAGAGATGCCACCCAACTGAGGGTTGCAAAGGAAGACAACTGTTCAAGCACACTGAAAGTTTGAGGGTAGGACTTATTTGTTGTTGCATGCTTTCACCTAAGATGAACCTATCACAGGGTTATTTTTTCTTAGCAAGATTTGTTCAGAAGAGGGTTGTAATTGCCTTCCTCTAAGGCTGAGAGTGTGACTTGTGAAGGCCAGCCAGTGAGTTTCATAGCTGAGTGGGATTAGAACCCAACTCTCCAGAGCCAAAGTCCAATGCTCAAACCACTCCACCATGTTGGCTCTTTATCTACATCGTATTGACATGCTTCCCCTCCCCCCACCTGCCCCTTATTCCAAGTCACTGGTCTTTCCTAGGTGAGGGGTGGGCATTACCCTTCAGAAGCAGTTCTACTACAGCTCCTATTTACCTGTCATCATAGTCATTAACAATGATAGGAGTTGTGTTCCTATAGCATCCAAAGAGTCACAGTTGTCAATTCCTAAACTAGAATAGCATTATTTATACCAGGGAGAGCAACCTCTGACATCAGTAGTTCTCAACCTGTGGGTCCTCAGATGTTTTGGCCTTCAACTGTTTACCAACTCTTAAGAGCTGGTAAACAGGCTGGGATTTTTGGGAGTTGTAGGCCAAAACACCTGGGGACCCAAAGGTTGAGAACCACTGTCTTACACTCCAAAGACATGGTGCACTGCACTCTCGTGATTCCTCATCATTGGCTAAGGCAGACATGGGAAAACTGCAGCCCTCCAGGTGTTTTGGACTTCAACTCCCACCATTCCTAACAGCTGGTAGGTTGCTAGGAATGGTGGGAGTTAGTCCAAAATACCCGGAAGACCTAAGTTTGCCCATGTCTGGGCTAAGGTCACTAGGAGTGATGGGACAGAAACTGCCCATGCCTGATCTAAACTGAATTCCCAGCATTACCCAATGATATCTGGGATTAAACGTTAGTCTAGTTTGGAGTGCATCTTCTGCTTGCTTCTTTGGATCCACCACAACTGTTTGGTCTTCTCAGTGTGAAGCTGAGAGCTACGTTTGTCACGTGAGCAAGTGTGTTTTCTTACCACCAAACCCAACAATCTAATGTAGATCCTATACCAACTATACCCTATACCAAATGGTAGCGCTTCATTTGAAACTTCCCTTCCAAGATCTCTAAATGTTGTTGGATGCAGACTCTTCCCAGCTCTAACCAGTATGGTCAGTGATGCAGTAAACCTGAAGGGTCTATCTGCACGAATGAACATTATATATACTTAAGTGCAAGGGATATGTGCACATGTCATTTTTTTCAAAACCAGAAATGTACATGAGTCCACTTTTTTTATCCTTCGTTGTTGTTGTTGTTGTTGTTGTTTTAGATTTGTGTGCCCCCTGCAGTTGGAAAGGGCAGAAAATTGTCCCCTGACCTTGCTGCTATTGCCAGAAATTGTCCAAGGTTTTAGATGGGGGGAGGGGGTGGGTGGCCCTATCAAGCAATGGTAGAAGGAAAGGCTCCTTTGCAGGCTTAGCATGTGCTCTACCACTGAGTGACAGCCTGTCCTCCCCTGCTGCCATGGTGAATGTGATTTAGATATGATCCCTCTTTTCAAAATCATAGGATGCAGGTGATGATTTACCCAAGAGGATACTCCATCTGTCTGTCCCCAAAGAATGCTCAACAGTATAATTACATGGTGCTTGCTTGCTGCAAGTTCAAGCTTTAGATCACTCAGCTATAGGTTGGATACTCATCCTTTTGTTTAGGCTATTGAATCATACATGGGGCTGTGGATATTGGGGGGCTTCCTAAAAGTATATTATTGTTGTTGTTATTTCACTACTGCTACTATTATGTAACACGCACCACCTCTTTCACAGAATTGTATGAGGCAGAACAGATGATACTGCTATCAGTTTTTTGCCCTGTGGTTTTCTCCTACTTTATCTATCTTATTTACTACCAAAATGGGCACTTACAGAGAGAAAGCTCATATTATTAAAAACCATTGTACGTGTACTTTGACATTTTTCTTTAGTGTCTTTTCTCTGCTAAGAAAATTGGAAAGTATTGGGAAAATATGTGAGGGTCAAAAGTGAAAATGATGATTTCAAGTACGCCTATACATTTTCATCAACACGACAGTATAATTGCACAGCAGAAACTGTGTTTGGATGCACTGTCAGATGGAAAGAAAGATGAATTAGTTACACAATGCATTTTCATTTTGGGGGCTAGTATTCCTCTGCCCTGAAGTACCCTAGGATTTAGAGACGTATCACTTTGAGCAATTCCTCCGGACCATTAGGGTTGCGCCCAATTAGTACTTACATGGGACACTATCAGGGAATGTCAGAAATCTCCAGATAGGCAAAGAAAAAATGTAATATGGAGCAATGAAGAACTATGCCAGACTTCAGAGGACTCCATATGTGTGTATATGTGTGTGAGATACATCTTTTACATCAGTGTACTTATGCTTGGTTTCTTGAATTAGTAGGCCTAATGTCTAATACCTGAGAAAACAAGATTCCCTGGAGTGTTCAAATAGATTTCTTACTTTTTCAATATATTTCTCCAGAGAAGTGGAAATTGTTATTTACTTTGGATATATCAGTGTAGCAATAGTATGTATACCTGGAGTACTTAGCGTAGAGTAGATATAGGCCTTCTCAGCATGGTCCTTTGTTCTGGTTTATTTAGAGAGGAACCATATTTTGAATTCAACTGAGATGAAGTTGGTAATGATGTGAGCAAATTGCTCTCTTGTGCAGCAGACATTGCAATAATTTCTGAATTTTAGTCCCTAGGTATGTTGAAGTGGAAGCCCCCTCCTTCCAGCCAGCCCAATGATTAGGAATTTTGGAAGTTCTCCAATAGCATTTGGGAACACACAATTGGGAACCGCAATTAGTGTGTCAAACTGGTGAGATCCAAGTTCAAATTCACACTTGGTTGTGAAGTTCACAAGTTAAGTTGATACATGTCAACTTAACCTTCCTTGCATGGTCATTCTGAGGATAAATGTGTGCAATAGGTAGAGCCTTTTATACTACTTGTATAAAATATATATTGTGATTCGATTTTGTCAATAATGAAGTCAGTTCCTATGCCAAAGCTTTTAGTTTTGTCCATAGAGTGGCTCCTTGTTTCACGAGAAAGGAGATCAAGTGCGTAATATGCAAGGAATAAAACACTTAGGAAGAGGTGACACTGGATTTTTAGATGGTCAGTTTTCTTCCCCAAATATATGGTACTGCCTTCTTTTCTTAAATATGTAGATAACATAAATAGGAAGGTAATTCCTGGTAGAGGTCACGGGATGAAGAAGAATCTTTCTTTGCACAGCATCCTATTTTTCCCCCAGAGTGTTTTGTTCAAATGTAATCTCATCAAAAATATTCA